GCCCTTAACAAAGGTAGTTTATTTGGGCTTAAGGTAGGGGGTGTCTCCAACATCCACTTGTCGGGAATCTCAACACAGGGAGCCTCTTCCCACCACAGGTCACGGGTAACCTTTGTTCGCAGCTTCCGGGACACCACCGTGTGTTTGCCGCGAGTGAGAGGCTTCCGAGCCTTGCCTTGATTTGAGTTGTATATATATATATATACATATGTATATATAAGTGTATATATATATATATACACATTATTTATTTTACCATATATTACATAGTATTAACTATACATGTTATACATGTGTCATGAGTATTATATACATCTACATATACATATCATGTAGGTGTGTTTTCCTTGCTGGCCACCGCCACAGATAACACCCTGCGGGTGACCCACAACTGTGTGGAAGTATCCTCCATACAGACAAGAGCCACGTCACTTGCAACGGCTGTTTGGGGCTTGATGCAGGAACCAACGTAGACTGCAGGGTAAACTGTCAACTTCTCGGCAGCATATACGATCCGTAGAGCCGTAGAGCGAGTGTTCGGCAGAAAGTTTGATGCTCCAAGGCAGAGCCCTCTTCATAGCCCTTTTGCCGCACTGCGAGCGTCTTGAGTTCCTGGGTTTTCGGTGTTGCCCTGTGTTAGATTCTGTGCTGTTTTTCGGAGCTGTGTCAGTCGGAAACAGGCGGCAGTTGTCAGCAAAGAAGACTCCGCACACGTAGTCGGAGGGTGATAGCCTGAACATGCCTGAACAGGATTACGCCTGGGTGTTCCTGAAAGCCTGACACGTCAGTGGAACCTTTTTGACTTTGCTCGTGTTGCGGTGTCACAGCCTGGCAATGGTGCTCAGATCCTCAACGAGCCGAACTCATCACTGCTTTCGCTGGCATTGTCTTACCTCAGCTTCGCGATGATCATAGTGACCACGGTGTCGTTGGTGCTAGACTCTTGCATGCACTGTTGTAGTGTGTTGCAGACACCTGCAACTGGGAGTTCTGCAGACCCAGACTCCGGTCCTTGATTTGGTGTATAGCATGGTGTAGGTCAACACACCACTGATTGAAATTCCTGTCCTGCGGAGCATTGCCTTGATATCTCACTGGGCCGATGGGATCAACTAAGACCTTTCAGATCCTGCCACATCTTGCTCTGCCTGCAGGGACTCTGCAGCTGCGGAGGGCTTGTTTGCACTTCCTATGCAACCGGCTGGGCACAAATTGCGTCGAGACCTGTGTCGGAACTCAGTGATGCATGTCATCGGGGCATAGGAACCCTATAGTTAGTCCCTTTAAAAGGGGACCCTCTTATAGAACCCTTCGTAGTTTCTAAGGGTGCCGGAAAGCCTCTGGACACCCGAGGAGTCGATGCCATTGTTCAACTATACTCCTGACAACTGTGGAGACCCGGAGATCAGTCTCCCGGCTTATGGGTATAGCGTTTAGGGGGCTTGCTGCTTTCGAACCCAGTCGTGGGGCGAGGATCAAGCGATCAGTCCACTTCTGCGTTTCCTCCGTGAGTTCCCACACCTGAATGAGCGAGCTCCGAGAAGAAAGGATTGCAGCTTGCAGCCATGGCAGTCTCTCTGATGAGTCCTGTGGTTGGCCTGTCTGTTTTTGTTCGACAACTTCCAGTTTCGAGTGCTTTTGGGCACCTCAAAATGTGGACAGATGAACCTCTGAGGCGTTGAACTTTGCAAGCCGGTTCCCGACATTGCCTTCGAATACATCGAAGTCACAGGCCGCTGCAGACAGAGCAGTTCGAGTGATCATACTCCACGGAAGTAGACGGCGAACGCATTGACAGACGGACCCCTCCAGTTCTTATCATATTTTGTTGAAGAAGAGATTCATTGTATCGCATAGGCAGGGACGAAGCTGAAACGACACGTGAAATTCGTCGACAAGGAAAATCTCAACGGAAAAGGCGTCCATCAGTTTTGCACAAAGAGAGCACTGCGTTTCCACTCTGTGGCCAGTGATCGAGAAAATGCCCCATGTCAGCCCGCCTTCGCCTTGCCTCCTCCCTGTTGCAAGCACGTAGTGGAGGTCGCAGCTCAGCATTCACTGCTTGGTAACTAATCCTGTTTTCCAATGTAGCTGTTGTACTCCGTTTGCAGGCATGCGTTCCGGAGTCTTGCAAGTCGTGAAGCCCATAGGCGATCGTACTGCAGACACCCTTCCCAACATGGCCGGCATTGCATCATACGTCTCTGCAACGCCTTTGTCAGGCACTATCTTCTTCACCGTAGAATATGCCGCCGCCTCAGTGTCAACTTGCAGGCTTAGCAAGATGACAAACTCGATTGGAGGTTGGAAGGGATCACAGATCCGGATGGTGTCTTGATCAAGTTCTGTAGGTATGTTTTACTGCCTGGGTCGCCCTTCTACAGCAGTTTCACCAAGCAGATACCTATCTTCAAGCGCTTCTCATGAGCATTTTTTCAAGCCGCAAAAATATCGTGAGACTTAGGCGCTGCGCATCGCGACTGCGCATGCTGCAACGGAACAGGCTACGCCTGTTTTGCCTTGCTTCCACACTAGTTGCAGCAAGCAGGTGCGTGCACGTCTCTGTAGCGACATCCCAAAACTACAAGTGCCAACATTCGCTCTCGTCTGGTCATATCATCGTTTTGCTATTTCTGTTGCGCCTCCGAATGGTAAAAACCATCCTGTCAGGAGCTGCACCTGTCAGAGGCGCGCAGGGGGCAGTGTAGAGTTTACTGAGCAAGTCCTCCTCGCACTCAGGACTGCGATGCCTTTCCATACTGTAGCACAGGCTTTTCCATCTGTAGTACTATTGAAGTTTCGAGTTAGAACAGTGCATTATTGCTACACGTAGTAAAACTAAACGGCGCGCAGACGCGGATTTATTACCCCGGACTACCCTTTTTGTTCGTTTTTGTTCCTCCAGTTCGGATGTTTGGACACGGGCTCGGTCCGAGCAAGCTTCTTGCTAGGATTAGAATCAAGCTGCTGCAAGCGGGCCTTCGCGCAGTCAGCCCGCCTGGCGCACAAAAAACCATTGAACGCATCATGTGCTTGCTCGATTGTGTCCCACATCGAGTGCTTAATGAGCTGTGCAGTTCTTAGCTTATTACCTAAAACTTCAGGTGCGCTTGGGCCCTGAAGCCTGTGTACAGGAAGAGGATCCAGACGAGAAGTTGCCGGGATGGAAAAAGACCCTGAGGCCGTGGGAAGTGGTCAGAGGGATCTCATTTGCACATGCCCATGGCAATGCATGTTGTATCTTGAGCCCATCATCTGCCCACTGCAGGCTCTAGACTCTTGACTTTCCTTCGTGCCTCTGCTTGGATCAGGTATTCCATGCAGTCGATGAACGTCATCGATGTGATGGCCATTGCAACATGGCTATGTTCCTTTCCGGCGTTGCCTCCTTGCTAACGTGGTCAGTAAGACGCAATGAAATTAAGCAGAGCTAGTCGAGAAGTGTGGAGAAGTGATACTCCCCCTCTATGTCAAGAACATTTGCATTTCATGGGCTGGAGTGCAGGGAGTACCGATGGGTGGCTGATTGTTGCTGAGGTCCCCTTCTACCTTGAGTTCTTCGGAGCAGCAGGCACCCCTGCAGCGGCTCAAAGCACAACCTTTTCGGCTTCGTCACGGTGACATGTGCGGCATGCGTGTGCTAATGTGTTCTGTCTTTCCTGCGGCAACTTGTGCTTCGTGCTTCTGGATTATGCCAATGACAGGTGGGTGGGCAGCTGTTCTTCGTGTGCTGCGGTTGGTCCGGGTTTTTAGAGTCCTGAAGCTTGGACAGATTCAGCACGGCCGTGATTTATTCAGACCTGCTCGGAAAGGTCATGCGCAGTCCGCAATCGTGGCAGGGTTTCCCGGAAGGAGCAGGCTGAGCGAACGCAGTGGGCAGATGTACTGCTCAGCTGCCAAATCCCCTCTCTCCCTTGCCGAGGTAGCACATGGTGAGAAAGGTTTCCCTGTACCGTATCTACATGGACAGGGTGAAGCATGCTACCCATGATCTGTGCGTTTGTGACGGGTTTACCAAGGAAGTCGCCGAAAATGCGTGCATGCCGCTCGGCGATGCTTTATAGAAACAGAGTTCCAGAACCCTACTATTGAAATTCATGTGAGGTGTACTCGTATCATAAATGCCCCTACATAATGGAGTCAGCGCTGAATCGATGAACGTTAAACTTGTGGACTCGACGGATTAGAATGAGGATCGTACAATATTGTGTGGCGACAGAGGAGTTTGGTTTGCACCGTAGAAGTTCACGTCGGTCACAAGCTGACAATGACGGGTGCTTCTTGGTTCGGGCGGTCGCCAGCCCCCGCGCGAAGGGTCCTAGATAGAGTGCACGACAGATGAGGTGTGGACATGATCCTTTGCATCGCCACTTGTCCTGATTTCAGAGACATGTGCAGCCACCGCATGTCTGTTTTGCGGAGTGCTAGTGAGTGCTCGTACACGAAAACTGACACGTGTGGCCTGCCCCTGACGTAACCTGTCGGCGCCACGACTTCTTGGAATTCTGTATGTATGTATTTATGTCCACTATACTATATATATATATATATATATATCCCTATGTGTATATATATATATATATATATATATATATATATTTATCCCTAAGGGTGATTGTACCCATTTTGCATACACATCGGGCCTAATGTACCTATTTATAGGGAGTACTTTAGGGCCAATGTATATACTAACTTAGGGTATGTATTTATTCATATTTACATGTATGTTTCTAGCAGGTACGTAATTACGTGTGTATGTGTGTGTGTGTGTGTGCATGCATGTATGCCCTCGAGAGAATCCGCGGCATCACGCTGCATGCGCTCGCAGGATCAGAGCCTGGTTTCAAAATGCGCAAGCGCATCCTCCGCCACTGACATTCATGAAGTCGAAGACTGAGAATGTAAGTGCTCAGTATATATAGTACCCAGAAGGCAGCAAGACGTAGAAAGAGTCGGTCCAATAGACGCTCACCTTGAGAAGTGCAGAGCAGACCTCAGCCATGATCAAGCGCGCCCTCGGCCTTTTCGCCGGTGGGGAGGGCGCTGCAGAAGATGACGACTCCGATGACGTCACCCCAGCGCAGCGGCAAAAGCTTGAAAGGCGTCTGCTTCCGGGAGCACAGCGAGGCAGAAAGAGAAAGGACATGGACGAAGATGAGGGGGACAGTGAGGGCAGCACTGACAATGATTCCGATGACGATCCGCCTGTGCCAGATGCAGAGGAGACGTTTCGCGGGCAATACCACTGCCAGCTATGCCCTGACAAGATCCTGCTCACCGAAAAGCAGCTAGAGGTCCACCTGCATAGTGGTGCACACAAGCGAAAAGAGCGTCACTTCGAACGGGCCAAGGCAATGGGATTGCAAGCCTATGAGGCAGAGTGTCTCGAGAAAGCGGCCGCTCGAGAAGCAAAGGCCGCTGCTCAGAGTGCTGGCGTCCTGTCCAAGAAGAAGCAGAAAAACGCGGACTTCTGGAAGCAACGGAAGGAGCGCCAGCTGAAGGCGCGCAAAACAGGCGGCCTCAAGGGACATGCCGGGATCGCGCTTTCTGACAGAATCGACGGCCAAGGATTGCAAAGTTGAAAAACGAGATCAGCATTGAATGAGCTCTGACTGTTTGGTAGCCTGCCACGGTGAAGATAGCTATTGGTTGAACTGTCATGAGGCTAATGATCGGCTGCTGCGCCTGTTCACACCCCTTGTCGCTCGTCCTTGGCCCCAACCTCGCCTGAATTGCTCGAGTGTGAGAGTTAAACCAATGTTTGCTATGGTATGGTATGGTCTGTTATAAGGTATGTAATGTATGTAACGCACGGTAACGTAAGGTAACGTAAGGTAAGGTATGGTATGGTATGATGTGTATGTATGTATTCATGTCTCTCTGTGTGCATGTATGTATGTATATGTATGTATGAGTGTATAGTGTATATATAGACATGTATGTATGTTGTATACATGACACACCGAGGAGTTTGCATGAGCACTCATGTCTTGGAGCCTTCACCGTGTCCCTGCAGGCCATGTGCATACTGCTCCAGGTCTCTGGGAATGGGGCCTCTCCCAGGTAAGGGCAGGTGGAGGCTGAGGTGGAGGCTCAAAGTCTTTCGGACAGAAGGAAGTGCGCCAGAAAAGAAGCCAAAAGCCTTGAGGTCGCTGAAGCCCTGCCTGGCATCGCGTCGGTCTTCTCACTCACCTGCCTCTTGCCCGCAAAACGGGGGCAAGGGGGCCGCTGCAACTCTGTGTATGCAACTTCTGCGGGTAAGGTCTTTGGAAGGGCACCAGACATCCGAGTCACACTTAGGCGGTTTGGACGGGGTGGGACAGAGGGCACTTGCCAAGCACGGTGGGTTACGCTGATGAGTGGTTGCTCGACGATTGGTTTGTATTGCCCGCTGGCCGTTTCCTAAACGCAGCTAAGTAGGCAACGTAACGGCCCAATACCTTTAAAAGGCTATTAGTCTACATACTGTTGGGGTCAAAGTGTTAATGATGGGGATCATTTTCAGGAACTTTCATGTCGGAGGAGGTCAGGTGGTCGTCGGCCTTCGTGGCAGCACTTGATCTTGAACCTCATATAGATAATGATATAAGCAGATGTATACAGATATAGAGATATACATATACGTCATACATGCATATGTAGACAGATACAAATATTAATATCCTATATATACATATGACTAAGTCACTATGTATGGCCGCTTTTGTTCTTTCCGAACGATGGTAACTCCAGATTTGTGACCAAGGTTTGGTTTGCGTGATGTTCGCATCCTTCTTGTTCTTCGCAGAAGGCCGGCAGCATGAAACACAACTTGCTAGGAAGATCATAGCTGGACCTTTGTGAAATGCGGCTGACAATTTGACACTTGCGTTTCGCAGAAACTATAAGAAACTAAGACATAGTCGGAATTCAGTCTTTCCAGTATCGAGGGTCACATTTTCTGATCTTGCGGGCGTGCGCCTCAGAGAGGCCATTTGCATCATAATATGGACTTCAGAGAGCTTTCAGTAGCGGCTTGCAGTTTTTCAGCTTGTCATTCTGCATGTGAGCCGCTGAGCTGCCGGGGAGGTGCGTGCATGCATTGTGAGCACTTGTAGAAATGTCAGGAACGACGTACTCCGTCACACATCGACCGGACCTTTATCCACTGGGTGTGTGGCCTGACGTCTCTGGAGCTTTCTTGCTGGCTCAAATTTCACTGTTGAGGTTTGGATTGGGAGAGTGTTTCGTCTTGTGCCCGGATGACGGTGGCTTAAAGATAGGCTTTCGTTGGGAGGATGTTCCGCTGCGAATTTCGCAGTCCACGCTCACTGTGACTGCAGCCTTCCTCTCGTTGCTTCTTGATGCAACATGCTATCTCGGAAATTGCTTCAAGCCTCCAAGCTCAAGCTGCACCGAGTCCAACAAACGCATGGCATAGCTCCGGCAAGGTATATTCGACCGACTGCAAATGGCCTTGGCTACGAACCAACGCCGTTCAAGTCTATATTCCACACTTTCTGGTGGCTGCTTGGCATGGAAAGTACACCCATGTGAAGAAGCCTTCTAGGCCGCTTCTAGGCTGTTGCTTGCCCCGGAGTCAACCCCATCTGTGGCCGCTTGTCAAGCAGTATTTCGTTTCACTGCACAAAGGGTTCGAAACCGCGGTCAGGTACGGCAGAGGTTTCTATGTTTGTTCCGAGTGCTTGTGCCATGCGAAAGACAAACTAGTCTAATGGAGGCTCAAAACTCGATGTCGCTCCAGGCGACTAAGGCCTAGGGCCTAGGGCGGCCGAGATTCGGTTTACGTTGTTGACGGTATCGTCGCGGGCAGCCTCAATCGTGCTGCTGCGCCCAGGTTCTTTGCGACTGCCTCTCGGCTTCAACGAAGGGATCGGACAAGACACGGGTTTGTGCCTGTAGTGCCGGGTCTCGAGAACTTTGCAGCTGCTGACCACCAAAGGCATTCTCTTCCGCTCGTAGTTGTTGGGGCCGGCCGTGCCCGGAGTTGACAGAGGGCGTCATCTCCACAGCAGATCGTGGCACTGTGTGATAATCCCCGTCTTCACGTATGAACGAAAAAATCCTGTGATTTCGCCGAATGCCGATATATGGGCAGCAGTTTCTACAGCACCAGCCCACGAATCTCAGACAAGGCGACTACCGTGGGCTATGGAGACCACGTTCCCACCACAACTGCTGGGAAGCTTATCTCCATTGCTGTTTTCTATATAGGCATTGCTGCTTGGCTGCAAGAAGGGCAGCCGATCTCCGGAGCATGTCTGTCTACGGCAAGTCTCGCAGGGCGACAGGAGAAGAGGGCGCTTTTTGGCAGTCTCGGTAGGCAGCAGCTACCAAAAACTTAGACGTGAGGGTAAGGGTGATGCTGAACCGTTGAAGGTGAGGGAGTGGATGGACTAACAGCTCCAGGCGGTCCAACGTCGCATTTTTCATTAAGAGAGTTTGCATTACATAGCGTAATACCTTTGGTAGTTTGAAGTACTCTCCGAGGTACTGGTGGCCATCAAGCTCACGATCGTCCAGGGATCGTTTCGGCGGCATTACCCGCAGCTTGGATACGACTGGTCACCTTTTCGGAGCTTCGGAAGACTTCCATCCGACGCACTCGAGTTGTGGTCTTTATGCAGAGTGAAGTGCTCATGTTCTACGAACTCGCTCCCTGGTCACAGTAATTTGAGCACCCGTAGACGAGCGATGGGCTTGATTTTGTTCCAATGAGCTCGATGCTCCATTCTGCCTATGTGATGGGGTTTTGCCGTCACCGTCGGTAGCTGTAGTTGATTGAAACCATTGGGTTAGGAGGCCCGGTTGAGCCCACATAGCCACCTATTCACGACAGCCTCAGACAGCTGTTTCGGCATGACTTTTCCTTTCAGTTCAGCTGAGGAAGTGGAGTTTGCACACATAGCTCTTGGAGAGCTCTTGGCCCAGGAGGGCAAACTCGCAAGAAGACCGTGGTCCGGTAGACACACCGACCTCGGTGTTCTTTCGGGGCAGGCACCAGAATCATTATAGAGTCGGCTTTTTGTCATTGCTCTTTACTCGCCATGGTCCTGGGTGCTCAATTGACAATGTTACACCGAAGCCAGCATAAACGTATTTATGCCTCCCCCCCCCCCCCCCAGTTTCCTGGTCGAGGCAATCGCTCAATGGGAAGCCGCCTTTGCTTGAGATGGAGCCGGATGGGGTTGTGGCCTGACCTGACCCGCCCCATACGCAACAGACAAAGTACCTTCTATAGTGCCCAAGACGGCACGGTTTAGCTCAAAATCAAAACCCCTAGTAGACCCCGGCAAGTCACTACGCATCCGGCAACCGCAACGGATGAGAAATGCTGGTAGAAGCGTTTCACTCTCGAAGCGCGCCGTCCACAAACGCCTGGCCTTGCATGTGAAAGACTACGTATAGCCGCACACTGCCATAGGTTTTAAGAATGAGCTGTCATCTTCAGCAACTTCGCTAAGATCGCTGTTCAAGGAGCCTCATGGCTTGAAGCAACAACAATGACATTTGCCATTGTAGCTCGCTGCAGTCTCCCGGGCAAGCATGTTGCAAAGACAATATCTCGCATTGCAATGCTACTGTGCCATTCCCAAGTTTTGTTCTCATTGTAGCCACTTTTTCCAGGGTCTGCGATCGGAAGCAAATTAGGACAGACTCAGGGCGGAAGTTGCCACCTTTCGCGGGCTCTTGCAGCGAATGCCCCCTCGGCAACAACAATGCAAGGCATCGAGCGCTTCGGAACTGCATGTGTTCAGCCATGGCTGTTACCCACGAATTTGTACAGCTGCAGATTCGTCGGATGTCTGCTCTGGCACAGGCCCGACAGGAGCTCCCCACAAGCCTGAAATCCCTATCTTATCGCTCGGACTACGGCAAAACCGGGCAGTCCTGCCAGAAATCAACTCGCAAGTCCAGCGTCCCGAGGACGGATGGGCGAGTAAGAGAGGATCAGTTGTAGCTCTAAGAGCTGACTCTCCCTGGGCCATTCTCAATCGCAAGACTGCCGCCTACAACATCGCAGATCTTTGAACGGGATCAACAAAGTCACCATTTACTTACGTATTGCCGCGTACCCTCAAACCCTGTGCTATCAAGAAGATCCTTTATTGGAGCAAGCTCGCTTTTGAGAACGTCCCATGGCAGATTCTCCTAGCTAGGGTTTCACCTCGTCAGATGATGTGGACAACTGCCAAAGCAAGAGTCAATCCAAGGCCCCATGCAAGCTCTAAATGGGATCTCATGACTTGGTCAGATTGAACAAGACTGCACGTCCATATGAGCGCTGAACGTCTTGGACCTGACATTTGGTGCAGTTTAAGCCAAGACCCTTGAAGAACAGACCTCAGCACAATGCATCTGTACATGTGCGCACAGACTTAACATAGCCCCACATCTTATCAACATCGTTCCCTCTTTTCAAGGTTCTCCGTGGCAGACTTGGAAGGCCCAGCAGCCAAAACTTGACATGACATACCGTTCCTCGAAATTGGTCTAGCAAGTTTCAATCTTCTTCACTGGATGATGCCTACGTTTGGCAGATCTTCGCGTCAAGCAGCAGGAAGCCGGATGATGAGTCACC